TATCTATATATACATAATATAATAAGTATGTGTACATATGTATATATGTATGTGTGATACATACATACATGTGTTCTGATAGAGCCCATATGCTTCACCATATGGGTACATGGCACACCACAGTTTGTAAACCCCTGATTATGAGGAGGAGCATAAAGGATTCACCCAGTGATTCAGCGTATATAAACGCATTTTAAAGTATTTTTAGGTGAATGATCAAATGACTGTTTTTTCCCTTTTTTTCAACTACATGACATGAGTGCTCCCTGACAAAGATAAGATGGGTCCCACTGATCAATTTTGCTGCCACAGCAACTGTAGCCACTATGCCTAGCTCCATTCTGAAGATGTGTCACTTCTTGCTTTGGCCTCAAATCAGCCACAATGGCAGAAACCCATGAAATCACAGATGAAGCTTAATGATGACCACTTCCTATTCTCTTCACTTGACCCAAGAGACCATTAGAAATAGTCCAAAGACTCACTGAGGGAAATGGATATTATTTCCCAGAAGTAAATACAGCTCAGCTTGTACTTTGGAACAACTGATCGACCTCGCCACTTGCACAATCTACTAGCAAAGGTTATGCAGTGCCTGAACATGATCATGGCAGAATCACCAGGCCTCGTCACCATTTGCCTTTTAGGATATCTACTCAGTGCTGAATGTGCAGGTTGGTTTCCTTTTAAAAATATATTGAGTATGCTTGTCTTTTAGATATAGAAATTTCTGGTGGTGTCTTCTTCACTAAATAATGATTGCATGATTGCGGGTTAGTAAGTACTGGGTCTCTGGTAGCTGGGTTTTCTTCTTCCTCATTTTTAAAGCTAAATAGATTTACAATGCTTATAATACATTTTTTATTTAATGAATACCATTGAGCTTATGACTTGACAATGTCATTCCTCTTAAAAAATATTCATCTCTTTGATTAAAAAATTAAAAGTGGGAAAACATTTTAACAAGGAAACAAAAGAATATGCAGGAAAAATTAACTATATATTTTTGGGTTTTTTTGACTCACCCCTTTGAAATCAAAATAGGAAACATTAAAACCATCAACAATGGTCTTATTTACACAAAAAATCTGATTTTAAGATATATGCTGCATTTCAAAATTTTGGAACTATGTAATGAGGCATGTCCCTAATTTTTAAAATTATATACCTTCAATTTAAAGTTTTAGTTAAAACTCCAAGATTAACATTTCATTAGTAAGTAGTTATATGTTACTGAAGTTTTTCATGGATTAGGAAAAAAATAATCTTGTCTCTATTCCAAACATCTTAGAGTCGATATTTGGAGAAACACAATGCTTAGTTGAGCTCCCTAGGGGAGAAAAGCAAGTCCAAGAATTGATGTAAAGAGTAAGACCTTAGTTAATGTAACGTATATCATTTTGTTTTTTCACAACTACAGACTTTATATATTCCCCAGAGGAAGGCACACAGGGAAGAAATTATCACATTTGGACAAATAGCATGTTCTCACAGGAAGCATGTATCACACTCACTTGTCAACCTTCTCAAATCAAATCTAGTAGCTGACAGTACCAGGATCAGGGGTGCCAACCCTAAGCGTCCCCAGAAAGCAGACTGGCCCTGTGGTTCCCACTCCAGACATGATGTCAGCTGTGGAATCAGACTGAAATGCTAAAATAATGATGCGAGAATACAGAGGTTAAACTATCAAAGTGGGTAGAGTCAAGGGATAAAGAAAATTTGTTGGAAAACTCACAAAGCAGGACATAAAGCAATGTCATTAGACAGCTCATCAGTGTGACATCTGGGAGGACAAAGAATCAAAACCTTTTCTTAGAGATAAGTGGTGAGATGGTGAAGGTTACAAGAGGGCTGCTGCCCCCCTGAAGACATCAGATGTTGGAAAAAGGATAGATACAAAGAAAGAGGAGCTAGGATTTCAGAGCTGGGGAAATAATGACTAGAGATAAACGTGAAGGGAGGTTAAATATATAACCCCCAGAAAATACTAAGGAGAAAGGCAGTGTGATTCTGGAGCCATTATAGTCAGAGATAATAGGTCCTTGAGGAGAGGGCCAGAGGAATTTCCCTAAGGATAGACAGTATTGATGCAGCACTCTTTTCTGTTATTAAGCTGTCATTGGCATCTAAAAGGAGTGATTTGCTGAGATGCTGCATTTTCATGGCTGCTGCTGTTAGGAATTATTGCATCAATTTGGAATTTTGAAATCAAAACTGTTCTGTAAAACCAATTCTGTTTTGTAAAGTGTATGGATCAAAGCTATCTTTCATTCATTCAGACATTACTGAGTTACTACTATGGTGCCAGGTACTTCGGCAGGGTACTAGGGGCATGGGGATAAACCAAATTCCCTCTTTTACCTAAAATACCATGAGGTCAGGTGAAAAATTTCAATATAATGTGACAAAATGTATACTAGGTGCTAAGGGATCATAGAGAAAGGAATACATTAAATGGCGAAACACTTGACAGACAGTATTTTGAGCAGGGTCTTGAAAGATGAGTAGGAGTTCACTCTCCTTAAAAGTCTTATCTAAGGCATTTTATGCAGAGAGGATCACTCATGTGCAAAGACCCAGATCTACAAGAATGTAAGATATTTCATGAATTCTGTATAGTTTGAATATTGACTATGACAAGTAAGGCAGGAGAACTAGGCAGGGCTGGGTCAACAGATAATAAAGGCCCTAAACTAAGGAGATTGGACAGTAAAATGCAATGTGGAGCTATCAGAAGTGTAAACATAAGGAGTACCACTGCTGGCTGATTTAGGATGCTCAGTCCGGCAGCACTCTGATGAACTGATGAGGGTGATGCCAAGACTAGGGGAGAGCAGTCCTGAGGGTATTGCAATCATCCAGGGCAGACACAAGGGCCAGAACCTGGCAGCAGCTGGACAAAGAAAAGGGGAATTCAAATGATATTAAGGAAGTAGAAATGACCTGACTTAATAAGCATCTGGGTATGGAAGGGGAAGCGTACAGAGTATGTCTTGAGCATTTTGAGCTTGATGTGATTATGCGACACAGCATAGTAGCTAAGAGGATGGGCCCTTTAGTCTGACTACCAGAGTCTAAATCATGGCTCTGATATTTTAGCATGTTACCTTGGGCAAAGCATTTAGCCTCTCTGAACCTCAGTTTTCCTTATTTACAAAAATGAGGTGGCAGTGCCTACCTCATGGGACTCTTGTGAGGAGGAAGTGAGATAATGGAAAGTACTAAGCACAGTGTCCAGCACAACAGAAGCATTACATAAACATCAGCTATCGCTGGCCACATTACAACGGACAGAGCTGGAAAGATGATGTGAAATTCAGACGATATATCTGACTAGAGGTGGGTACTTGGGACACAGTGTTGTATGAACAGCAGTTACAGCCATGTGTGTGTGAACACCCAGAGAAGGAGTAAAGATATTGTGACACCTAGTACAGTGCCTGGCAGTAGTGGTTAAGTGCTCAGTAAATTTTGCTGAAAGGGTTAGAGCCAGACTAGTGTGCAGGGAGCAAGGCCCATAGGGCATAAATGTACTTGCACACCTTGAGAGTGAGGACCCCTTAAATGTTATGCCCTAGACGTCTTATTTACCCCGTTTTAGTCCCAGCCCTGGCAAGTATGTGTGGAGTGAAAAGGGAAAAGACTGAGGCTGGTGCCTGGGAGAACCCTGGACATTTCAGGGCTAGGCAGAGAAGAAAGTTAACTGATTCAAGTGGTGGATGGATAACAAAGAGTTAGAGCCAAGAGGAGAACCAGAATAAAGTGATTTCATGGAAAGAGTTTACTGAAAAGGCAGATCAACAATTGGAAATGATTTAGAGCAGTCAGTAAATACTGAACTCAAAATCATCCTTTAGGAGGTCATTGCTAATTGTGACAATAGTCATTTCATTATATGAATGGGAGAATGTAAGTAAAGAGCTACACAAAATTGTATTAAAGAGCTAAAGAGAATTGAGAAAATTAAAAAGAAAGCCAGCATGAGAGGAGTAGGGAGAAAAAGAGTCCACCAGCATATGCCAGCCTACACATTATCTCACTAATCCTGTCAACAACACTGAGGTAGACATTCTTATTATACTACTGTTATACCCATTTTACATTTGACAAAGGTAAGGTTCAGAGTTTATGTGACTTGTCTAGTGTCACACAGTCAATAGGAGGCAGATACGTGATTCAAACCACCCAGGTCTGTCTGATCTGATTCTAAACCCTGTTTTTTCACTTAAACACACCATGCAGTTGGTCCTCCCTATCCATGTGTTCCGTATCCACAGAATCAAGTAACTGTGAATTGAAAATATTCAGGGGAAAAAATGGATGGCTGTGTCTGTACTAAACATGTACAGACCTTTTTTTCTTGCTATTATTCCCTAAATGATATAGTATAACAACTATTTACATTGTATTAGCCACTCTAAGTAACCTGGAGATAATTTAAGTATACAGTAGGATAAGCATAGGTTATATGCAAATATTATGCCACTTTATATCAGGGACTGGAGCATCTACAGATTTTGGTATCCACGGGGGGTCCTACAACCAATCTTCTGCAGATACCGAGGGACAACTGTAAATGGATGCCGGTATGGATGCTATTTAGGAGTGCCCAGGGCCGAGTAATGAGTTGCCAAGGAGAGAGTCGGGCCTGATGGAGGCTGGGAGGCATCAATATGTGGTGGCACCTATCTGTAGCTTGGTGATTCCCCCCATGGTGCTGGGCCATCTGGGAAGAGAAGAAGGAAGGCAGATGGTGGCACTGATCTAGAGGTTGGGATTGCAGGGGAGGCGCAGCATTGCAAAGGGGTGAAGGGAATTGAGAAAGTTGACAAGTGAAGAGTTGAAGAGAAAACATCTAGGCTAAATTCGGGAAAAAGTGAGCTCAAAGGGGACTTGCAGAGCAAGAGAAAAGCAAGGACATCGAGGGACTAGAACACTCCATAAAGTGAACAGCTGCAATGAAAATAAGGGACTAAAGTTTAGTTCATTTTTTTTTTTTCAGTTAATGAGAAAGTAGTCCCAAATGCCCTGGAAAGTTGATCTTATAAGCACTTGGTCCTGTTGAAATGGCATCAGATATATTGCTAGTCTCTTGAAGAAAGAAACAACTCCAGGCAACTTCTTGAGTTCCTCTTATTAATTTTACATATATATAAAATATATGCACACACATGTATATATATAAACACACATGTGTGTGTTTACGGTCATGCATAGCTTAACTGGGATACATTCTGAGAAATGCATCATTAGGTGATTTCATCATTGTGCAAACGTCATAAAGTGTACTTCATAAACCTACGTAGTCTAGCCTACTACACACCTAAGCTATATGGAAAAGCCTATTGATTGTTCCAAGGGTACAAACCTATACAGCATGTTACTGTACTGAGTACTGGGTATTGTAGGCAATTATAACACAATGGCAAGTATTTGCATATCTAAATATATCTAAACATAGAAAAAGTACAGTGAAAATACAGTATTATAATTTTATGGGACCATCATCATATATACAGTCCATTGTTTACTAAAACAATGGCACATGACTGTACAACTGTACATGTAGAGAGACAGACAGGGGAGAGAGGGAAGAAGGAACAGAATTCAGACAGAGACCTCAACCTTCCAGAGTTCAGGAGTGACCCTACAGACTAGGCAATCATAGCTAAAATAAACTATATCCTGAATTCCCGAGAAATGCTTAAATCACTGGAATTCCTATAACACATGCTAACTGAAGGTGTTCCGGGTCTAAAGATAAAAAAAATTAATGCAGTGGTTTTTATTTAACATCTAGTGAGAGACACTGGAGTCACATTTACAGCTGGACCACAGTTGCCTAAATGTCTGTTCTTCAGGAGACATTTGTTGCAAAGTCATTTGGGCAACTGCATCCTGAAAACACAGCCCAGCCAGGGTGATGGATCACCTTGCAAGGATCTGCGATGAGCTATTTTCAAGTGATGACAAACTGTGAAGTTAACTGCTTATTTGAGAACTTTCTTTTTCATCCAAAGTAAATTCAAATATGTTTGAAAATCTGACCTTTTATTACTGGAACTCTCCTGACTAAAAGCAAAATTGAATTTTAATTCCTAAATCTTCGTGTGCATACAGTACTGTGGAAACATCACAGATTTTGGCTCTATGCCCCAAAGAGAAATTGGCTTTGAGATTACTTGGATTAAAAACAAAGTCTTTCTTAAGAGATGTATTTAATTTTCATGATTTTTTCTTTTTTCTAAAGTATAGCTCTTTTAAATTTCAGTTTTTCTTGATCGTGAAAATGCCAACAAAATTCTGAGTCGGCCAAAGAGGTATAATTCAGGTAAATTGGAAGAGTTTGTTCGAGGGAACCTTGAAAGAGAATGTATAGAAGAAAAGTGTAGTTTTGAAGAAGCACGAGAAGTTTTTGAAAACACTGAAAGAACAGTGAGTATTTCTATATAATATCTTTCAGAAGCAGAGCAAAGAATATAAAACCTTAAAAAAGACACATCTCTTTGGAATTTTAAAATATCCATACATATACATGTATTATAAAAGAGAAGAAATCAACACCAAAGCACTTTAGATGCTACCATTAACTTGTCCTCATTTTTTTCTTTATAGACTGAATTTTGGAAGCAGTATGTTGGTAAGCAATTCATTTTATTCTCTAGCTAATACATGAAACATTCAAGAATTTGTATTTTTTTCTATATAAATAGATAATATATCAAAGTCTATCAAAAGGACACAGAGCAGTACAACCCTTTAACCTAAGATTGAACGGTGATATACTACAGCTTTAGGCTAGTGTAGGAGCTATCAACTGGCAGTTAAGCTTGCTCCTCCCTAGGGCTTCACAAAGAACATTGTTCCACTCCAGGAAGCTGGAAGGAAGAAACTGAAATGATTGTATCTTAGGACTTAATGAGAGTTTGCAATCCTAAGGAATCAGAGAACGATGATTGACTTAAATGTTTATTGTTTCCAAGTCCTCCTCTTTTAGATGGCTGACCGAGGTCTTCCGTGATTGTCCTTCCCCACCCTTCACATTGCCCTTCTCATCTCCTCTCCTAAGATGCTCCTCTTCACACACTGGGCTCTAGCCATCCTGGCCTTCCTGTTGCTCCTTGCACACTCTAGGAATGCTTCCATTTTACATGCTTTATCTGGTTGTTCCCAGCTTCCCCTGGGCTGGTTCCCTCACTTCCTTCAGGCCTTCACCCAAATGTTACCATCTCAATGAGGCCCACCTTGATCATCTATTAATATTCCAACCTGCCTACCAGTAGCCTCACCACTCTAGACACCCATGTTCTGTTCTATTTTTAATAGCACTTTTCACCACCTAATGTATCGTATCATTTCCTTATACTATTTGTCATTTATTTTTCCTACTCTACTAGAATGCAGGCTTCATGTTAGCAGAGATATTCAATTGTTTTGTTTTTTCATATATTCCTATCACCTAGACCAATATCTGGAACAGAGGGACTCAGTAAATATTTGTCCAATTAACTGACCAAAAGGAAGAAAATTCAAAACTTTAATGACAACTAATTTTAAAATTACTGTCATTTAAAATCCAGCAGTAGGATTTTGAGGGAAGGTAAGTTTCAAAGATTGATTTTGCCTAAGACCATCTGTATGGATAGAAACAAATTAACCTAGACACCAAATTCACCAAATTCCACCAGTTGGAGATCCAACTCTATTTTTTACAAGTTTCTATTCTGGAGACACTATTGGGCATTATCTTACCCTCATAACTCATAATTCCTCCACTATTGTTTTAAGGCATGAGAGAAAATGAGGTTCACTCTTATATTGCTTTATCTACCTTTGTATGTTTTTGGTGATAAATGCTACCATGACAATTTCTACTGAGGTATTTCCTAAAGTTAGTCCAAACAAGTCTTTTTACTCTCTATTCCCACTGAATTCAAAACTTTGAATCCTAGGATTTATTTCTAAAAGCAAATCAATGTCTACTTTTCAAAAACATATATATTCTTGGCTGTATTTAAACTCCCATGATCCTTTCATTGCCTACTCCCACCCCCAGCAGAGTATTTTGAAGATGGGCCCTGTCTTCTAAGTCACACAGGTTCATTGTTGGCTAGACCTCAGGTACAGATGATACCTGGGGAATATCAAGGGCATGATTCTGTCACTACTGCTTTGGCAAACAAAAAATAAAACAACAAAAACAAACAAACTTCATGCCTCTTTTCACTTACAGTTGGGATTCCTAATCACTGCAAAAGTAGCCTATGGACTGGGCCCAGTGGCTCACGCCAGTAATCCTAGCACTCTGGGGGGCCAAGGATGGAGGATTGCTTGAGGCCAGGAGTTCAAGACCAGCCTGAGCAAAAGCGAGATCCATCTCTACAAAACATAGAAAAATTAGCTGGGCATGGTCACATGCTTGTAGTCCCAGCTACTCAGGAGGCTGAGACAGGAGGATCGCTTAAACCCGGGAGTTTGTGGCTGCTGTGAGCTATGATGGCACCACTGTACTCTAGCCTGGGTGACAGAGCAAGACTCTGTCTCAAAAAAAAAAAAGTAGTCTATGCCATTTCTCACATCTAGCAGGCACCCAGGCTCCTCACTACTGTGCTACTCTGTAACATCAACTCACCACATAAAGAGCTTGGTTGAAGAAAAATGATCACCCAACCACATTAACTAGCACCTGTCAAGCACTTTATAGTTTACAGAATGCCTATCACATTTAACCCTCACATTATCTCTGTGAGAAAGGCATTATTAACACCATTTCACAAAGGAGGAAACTGAGGCTTAGAGAGGTTAAGGGACTTTCCAAGGGTCACCCAGATGAGGGGTCATGAAGCCCAGAAGAGAACCCAAGCTCTCCACTGCCCACCCCCTTGCTTTTGCTATTACACCTCAAGGCCTTTGAATCTAAACACAGTTATTCATTAAACAGGAGCCTAGTAGTCTTAAACAGGAATCTCTCATTTGGCAAGGTCTTGTCTCTTGTTGTCTTTGACCCCAACTGTCTATGGCTTTGCCTCAGCCCAAAGTACACACAGACAAGAACCCAAAGGAGGACTAAATGCAGGATAAAATGACACTCATTTTAACGATATGTCTCAGCAAATGAGTTCCTGCGTAGCTGGCTGAAAGCCCAGACCCTTTCAGTGAAACATCCTAAATAATTCAGAATTGTTGGTCTATAATATAAAGTGCAAATGTAGCTCGTTTTTTAGACCAGTCCTGAACATCAATAATAATAAACCAGAGATAACGTATTTTGTTTTCATAGAATTGGAACAAATTGAAGCATCTGTACAAAAGCACACTGGATCAAGGGGCAAAGGAGACAAGGTCTAATTTTTACTGTAATCAGATTTTCCAGAGAGGGACTATTTCTGAGGAAGGGATTTTAGTCCCTTAGTCAATGGGACCTAGATACATGCTTCTGACAGAGAGGAGGGAGAACAGGCAGGGCTCTACACAGTAGATGTCGGGGAGTTTTACTCTAAGTATGACTGGTAATTAGAAATGTCTCCTTGATTTCCCCCTTTTCTCATTCTTTGATTCTTATTGTTATCTTTATCGCTTGGCTCTTTTGTTTCTCATATATTGAGTTCTTACTGATCTAGGTCCAATTTTTCTTCAGAGCTATTTTTCTTAGCTCAAAGTGCGTACCAGTCTCCTTTCCAGTTCTATTCATCCTTTTCTCCTGAAGCTTCCTTAGAAGTAGAGATTGAGGCAGAGCACTAAGAAACCAGACCAAAAGATTCCTTCTCATCCTGACCCTTCCCCTCTCGCTTATTTCTTCCTCCTGTTTTCTTACCACCAGTGTCTTCAAAGGCTTTCAAGAACTCTGCAAATATAGAAACTCCAGGAAAGATAGAATGAAAACATAGCCAATCTATACATGATAAAGCACACTGTAGAATCTTTTTAAATTCTTTATGATATATTGAATGCTGTTTTCTCACTTTACCTAGACCATTGGGAACCTAACTTGTAGATCGTAGACTATCTCTAAGCAGTAACAGATGCTCCTGGCATCTTTTCTATTGTCTTGGAGCATTACTGCATACCACACTTCAAAGTTAAATGACAATATAAGGAAGCAGATACATTTGCTCCATGCCTAGACTGCCAGTTCCTAGAGTAGAAACACCATATATTATTTAGTTCAACTTGTTCTGCAAGACCTGTGAAAGAGTAGGCCTTGTATGACATATGGATAATATTTGTTGAAGTAATTCAATTTGATTTAGAATTAACTCTGCCATCATTTTATAAGGAAGGATTGAAAATATTTCTCACAATATGCTGATATTTCTATACAATATACTGATATTTCTATACAAAAAAAATGTTCTTTTCCCTCTTCCCTTGGATTACATAAACTATGTACATGCCTTCCTTGGGACAATTTCTTAGGATAGTGGTAGCCTAGAAACCTTTGCTTGGGTGGCTTTTAGAAACTCAGGAAGACAGGAGCATCACATGCCTCTCTATAGACAGCTGGTTTTCATGTCAGTAGTTCTGCTCTGGCCCTAAAATCTGTCCCATTCCCATAAGTCTGTGCAGGGGAGGACTGGGCATTGTAAGCAGTGTATCTGCTAATTCAATTTTTAACCTACCTCAAAGATGGAGATCAGTGTGAGTCCAATCCATGTTTAAATGGTGGCAGTTGCAAGGATGACATTAATTCCTATGAATGTTGGTGTCGACTTGGATTTGAAGGAAAGAACTGTGAATTAGGTAAGTAACTATTTTTTGATTACTCACAGTTTAAAGTTTCCTTTGAAACCAATTGAAATTAGAAAATCCAATATTGACGTATCATAATTTTCTCTTAAAACATATATTTTCAAAGCTTAAAAACATTCCCTTCATCTGTAGTTATATTTTCAGAATATGAGTGCAAGAAACTATATTAAAATAAATTAACAATATTTGGTAGCTAATATTAAGTGGTAATGATGTTCCACTCACTTTACTTATTAATCCTAATACAACCATATTCAGTCAACACCATTATCCCCATTCTGTGTAGCTCCAACAGCTCAAAATAACAGAGGCATAAATGGTTTAGCCAGGACTTGAACTTCAGTTTGACCAAAACCCATGCTTCTAAGTACTGTACTCAAAACTCAGTGAAAACTGAACCCATAAAATTGTTTTAACTCATTAATAAATTGCTGTCAACATAGATAGTGGAAGTCAATTAAGTATAGAATTGGGGTATGACAGACCAATTATCCCACATAATAGGAAATTTTCCACACATACAAACCACGTCACCTGTTAAATTTGTTGACAAAAATCAGAGTTCATTTCTGAATTTGACTATATCGACTACATCAAAAGAGTTCCATAGCAAATATAGGAACATTGTGTATCTATTCTTCTCATAAAGCAGAATATTTTTTTCTGGGGTTTTGATAATTGGAGCAGTAAACCCCAAAGTCCTTTCTCTATTTGTTTATTACCTCCAGATGCAATATTACTGGTATTATGACTGTGAAAAGCACACAGTGCTAATGAAGGATTCTCTTTTTACTCTGAAACTCCAGAAGAATAGAGATGTAATCCTAGGGAATGAATTTAACACCACAGGCTACATGACTAAGGACAAAGAGTAGAAAATTATCAGGACTCTATTAAGGCCTTATAGGAATCCATCTGACAAATGAAAAAGGCATAAAATGAAATGAAATGTAGCAGCTGCACTTGTCCTATTGAGAAAGGAAAAAATGTCAACTGTAATACTGTTCAGAAACCTTTCAGCACTAAAGAAAAATTCATCGATCATCTTCCTTTGAGCTCTAAAAGATCTTAGAAGTAAAAAAAGGAAATGGTGACAGGGCAAAAGCATTTGAAAAGAAAGAAAAGAATGAATGCAGGTGGAAGAACTAGCACACTGGACTTGGACCCCCATTTCCTTGGGTTTCCCAGCAGGGGGACAAACCAATACCTGGGTTACCGTTCCTGTGGGTGTTTTAATTGGTTCAATATCTCTGATGTGCTAATTTCATCTGAAAGGTTATAATTTCAAATTCAGATTTACCTGGATAAATTTGATCTTGCTATTACAGAAACCTACAGAAATCTTTGGAGTAGTTACTCATTATCAGCTTAAATAACATAACTGTTGGAGCTGGGGAAATGAATAACTCAATTAGTCTCAGTTATGACTGAAGGGCATGTTGTAGTAAACTATAATCGAAGACATGAATGTCTTTATCTAGTTTAAAAGTAAAGGTGTTCTAAACAGAGGGAGAGAATAGGCTTGAGGAATGTAAACATAAGCACAAAACTTCTATAACAGAATTTACTAAGTATGTGATGATGATCCACACAGCAAAACTGCTAAATCTACAACTGGCACCATCTCAATACTCTTGGGTTCCCACATTTTGATTTGGTCAGGGCTGTGCAGTTGCACTGCAGCCACCACCATGCCTGGCCTCTAGGGAATATTGATCTCACCCAGTCAATCTGATCAAGGTTTAGGAAAATATTTTCAGCTTGGTTAGTTCAGAAATAAAATGAGAATTCCCTCAAAAAGCTCTTTATCTCAGACACTAGAGGAAAGCAACAGCAAAAGTATACACAAACTCCCATTTAAGCTTTTTGCTCCAAACTAAACTAAAAAATAATTTCAAAAGCTACTAGATAGCACAGTTTATGTGGTATCTGGGCTCCAAGTCTCTTGCCTGACATTGTCTTGGAAAAGGAAAGGAAATTTCCATTGATAAGACTTTTTTGTTTTCTTTTTCCCTTGTTCATCAGGCTCTTCCTTAGAGGAGAGAGATGCAAACATTCAGGGCACTTTTCCTAGTTAGAAGAATAACAATTAATTGACTATTGGATCCCTTTGGCTACAATAAGACGTCTGTATATCTCCAGCTGCACATAAAATCTGAATCTCTTTCAGAGAGATCAAGGCCTGTAAGAATTTGGTCATTCTTGCCCCTTCTAAGAATACAAGAGCCATTTTCCCACAGCAAGGTAGAATAAAAAACCACAGGCACACAAATACTTTTTTTCCCATTTTTCCAGCACTTCACAGACACTACTGTCTTATTTACCATGTATTTCTGTGGAGTGGGGAAAAATAGAACTATGTTGAATTTAGCTGAAAAACGGCATATTTTGCAATAAACTTGTTAGATAGAACATCTTTTTTCCAAGCTCCAGTTGTCACATAAGTGGATAGATCAGGAAAGATGAAATCAGAGTAAAATAAAGCAGAACATGATAACATCTGTAGTAGGCATGAAGGGGATTAGAAATAGTATTTGTGCTAACATGGAGGGAGAACAGATGCTTTGAGAGTTCTTCAACAGATATGCTAGGCACTGAGGCCAGCTTCAGGACCAGGGAGAGAACCCATACCCAATACAGTGCCTAACATTTAAATGTTCAATAATTGATGAACGAGTCCCATTTAGACTGTTCCTCAGGTCCTGCTCTACAGACCTCTCCCCTGGATTCCTTGTGCTATTATTCTATTTCTAGAAATTTGAGCCTTTTACCTGAGGGCAAAATATTACTGATTAGGCAGCAGTATTTCCCACCACAAGCACAAACCAAGACAAAGATCGACAGCAGCAGCAATACACTGGGCCATCAAGGGCAATAACAAATGAGGAAAATGATAGAGAGGGCCGGTTACTTAGCCAAGGACACAGAATCAAAATTGGGAAAACCCCACTGAGTTTACCTGTTCCTGCTGTGCATGCCCTGGAAAAAACCAGGCTGCACTTACCACCTACCTCTGTTAACTTATCACAGCCTCATATTGATTGAACACTTTCTACAGGTGGTATTTGATTTGGCAGAACACTTTAGTATTGCTTTGTAGGAACAAAATCATAGCTAGTAACATGAAGAAAGCCAAGGATGTTATCACTGTTAGTGAGGAGAAAGGTCCTAAGTAAATTAATTAATTAAAAGGACCAAGTGTCATCTTTTCTTGATCATGTATTTAATGGATTATTGGTAGCAAAGGTTAAAGTTCAGGCTGGTTTCTTTGTCCACCTGGCAACAGTTTATTTGCCTCCCCTTATTTCCTGAAGTATCAGTAAGGAGTAAGAGCTAATTATTACATTAGCCTATGCCAGCATATGTAAAATAGGGTTTAAAAATTATTTAGATTTGTCACTCGAAAATTCATGTTATACTTAAAAACCACACAGTCACTCTGTTAGCCTACATTCCACCAGAAAAAAAAGAGCCTGTGAGGCCGGGCGCGGTGGCTCACGCCTGTAATCCTAGCTCTCTGGGAGGCTGAGACGGGTGGATTGTTTGAGCTCAGGAGTTCGAGACCAGCCTGAGCAAGAGCGAGACCCTGTCTCTACTAAAATTAGAAAGAAATTAATTGGACAACTAAAAATAGATAGAAAAAATTAGCCGGGCATGGTGGCGCATGCCTGTAGTCCCAGCTACTCGGGAGGCTGAGGCAGGAGGATCGCTTGAGCCCAGGAGTTTGAGGTTGCTGTGAGCTAGGCTGACACCATGGCACTCTAGCCCGGGCAACACAGTGAGACTCCGTCTCAAAAAAAAAAAAAAAAAAAAAAAAGAGCCTGTGACACAAGCTTATTTCTTAGGGTGTGCAATCCTAGGGGGCAAGAGTAAAGGACAGTAGAGTGTGGCAGTGAAAAAAGGAGAGCCAATGGGAGGATGAGTTATCAAACTATTTGCCTATAACTGCAAGTGATTCCTTGATTTTCTGGGACTGTATCCAAGAAGTCATATGAACTGGCTGCAAGACAGTACACTTGAGAGGGAAGAAGAGGTGAAAGAATTTGTCCATCAGTATCTGTCTTCCATTGGTCAAAAGTTCAGTCTACGGGGCGTTAACTCCCCTACATTTCCTGGCTGTGCTTGCTCGGCACTTTGACAGTCATATGACATCTCATGCCTCAGCATCAACATGGAAGCCCCAAGGCGAGAAGTTAAGGCACATAGTGCAGATGTAAGCCAAGGCAAGTCAAGGCTACACCTGTATGAGGTCCACTGAAGTCCATGCAGAGCTGATCACCACAGTGCTGGAAAAAGACACAGGTGAGGCAGAGAGGAGTGAAGCTGGTACATAGGAGATATCTAATACTTGTTTCAGATTTTCCATGCTATAATTGCACTAACAACTGAGCATTTCTATTGAGAGTCATACTTTTGTCAGGCACATAGATAATAAGGTGGAAGGTATCTTACATTCATTGTGTTCCTGTGCTGCTCTCAAGACAGAAACAGGCCCAAGGGCAGAGCCTGTTTCTCTTAACTCAGCAGATCTCAGCTAGCAAGCCCTGAACCATGCTACTTCCTGTTATTGAGATTGAATAGGTGAAACAAAGGGAAAGCACAGTAATTAGAAAATACAAAATAAGATGGCAGGAATGAGCCAAATATATCAGGAATCACAATTAATGTGAATTGAGGTTAAACTAATCTGTTAATGACAACTTTCAGTTTGGAGTTAAAAATCCAATTGTATACTGTTGACAAAAGAGATACCTAAAATAAAATTACACCAGGAGGCTAAAATAATGTAAAAAGAACTATCAGGTAAATACTAACAAAAAGAAACTGGCAAAGCAATATTAATATCAGACAAAATAGAATCCAAGATGAAAAGCATTTCAAAGGACAAAAAATATGTTATATTAATAAGGGAGATTGCATAAGAGAATAAAGAAAATGTTGGCCACTGGAATGCTTAGCACCAACAACATATAATGTCTTTGGCCTTTAGCTACCTTCAAGGACCCTATTTCATTCTTTTATGTTTGATACATACCCATCTCAGCCAGCTTCAAGTTGTTCTTTGGCCCTAATGGACTCTGCAACACTGTAATTTCTAAAGATCCCCAGATTCTATTATACTTCTGTAAGTAATTTGTTAAACTATCTAGCTCTGGAAGCCAACCAACTTCTAGAATAACTAAGCAATAGAGAATACACTTCAGTGTATTCAGGCAATATCTATATCAGATTATGAGATTGTTGTTCCTTTTTTTGTTCACTAAAAAAATAAGTAACACTATAACTTTCAGAAAAATGATTCTACATAAGAAAACCCAAATAACAGATTTAAACCTAAGGAGTGAAACTATTAGAATTCTAGAGGAAGATGTTGGAAATACTCTTCTAGACATTGGCCTAGGCAAAGAATTTATGAAGAAGACCCCAAAGGCAATCACAGCAACAACCAAAATAAATAAATGGGACCTGATCAAATTAAAAAGCTTCTGCACAGCCAAAGAAACTGTCACAAGAGCAAACAGACAACCTAAAGAATGGGAGAAAATGTTTGCATGCTACAAATCCGATAAAGGGCTGATAACAAGAATCTACTTAGAACTCGGGAAAATCAACAAGAAAAAATCAAACGACCCTATCAAAAAGTGGGCAAAGCACATGAACAGAAACTTTTCAAAAGACGACCGAATAATGGCCAAAAAACATATGAAAAAATGCTCAACATCTCTAATCATCAGGGAAATGCAAATTAAAACCACAATGAGATATCACTTATCTCCAGTGAGACTGGTCTTTATCAAAAAGTCCCAAAACAACAAACGTGGGCATGGATGCGGAGAGATAGGAACACTCATGCACTGTTGGTGGCACTGCAAACTAGTGCAACCTCTGTGGAAAGCAATATGGAGATACCTTAAAGAGATACAAGTAGAAGTACCATTCGATCCAGCAATCCCATTACTGGGCAGCTACCCAAAAGAACAAATGATACTGTATAAGAAAGACACCTGCACCCGAAAGTTTATAGCTGCACAATTCACAATTGCAAAGATGTGGAAACGACCCAAGTGTCCATCAATACATGAGTGGATTAATAAAATGTGGTATATGTACACCATGGAGTACTATTCGGTTTTAAGAAACAATGGTGATATAGCACCTCTTGTATACTCCAGGATAGAGCTGGAACGCATTCTACTAAGTGAGGTATCCCAAGAATGGAAAGACAAGCACCACATGTACTCACCATCAAATTGGTATTAACTGATCAACACATAAGTGCACATATAAGAATAACATCTATTGGATGTTGGGCAGGGGGAAGGGGGGAGGGGGGAGGAGGGGACAGGTATATGCATACACAAAGAGTGCGATGCGCACCCCCCGAAGAATGGACATATTTGAAACTCAGACTTGGGGGGGGGCAAGGGCAACATACGTAACCTAAACATCTGTACCCCCACAATATGCTGAAATAAAACAAAAAAAGAAAGAAAACCCAAAGCACCTAAACAATTGGAATAAATAATTATAGAAAGGTTGCTGGATACAAAGTTGACATACAAATATCAATTAAATATCTATATACCAGCAACAATTAGAAAATGATTTTTGCAATAGCATAAAAAATTAAATGCTTAGGAATAAAAGTAGAAAAAGATGTCAAGAACGCTACACAAAAACATATGAGACATTATTGAGAAAAATTAAGGAAGACCTAAATGAATGCATAGGCCATGTTCATGGATTTAAGAATACAATATAGTAAATATATCAATTCTTTCCTATTGGATTCAATGCAATACCAATCAAAACCCCAGCATGCCTTTTTTTGGTGGTGAAGGGGCAGGGTTGATAAGGTAATTCTCAAATGTATATGGAAATGCAAAGGGACAAGGATAGCCAAGACAGTTTTAAGGAAGAATAAAATTGTAGTACTTATATTACCAGATATCAAGACTTATTATAGAGTTACATTAATGAAGACAGTATGGTATTGACACAAAGATAGACAAATAGATAAATGGAACACTATAAAATGTTCAGAAACACACCTGCACATATATGGAGGCTTGATTTATAACAGAGGTGCCACTGTAGTAGAGTGGGGAATGCTTGGTATTTTCAGTAAATAGTGATGGATCAATTAGATATTCATATGGGGAAAAATGCATCTAGATACCTACCTCGCACCATATACCATAGTCAATTCCAAGTGGACAAAAGATATAAATATGAAATATAAAACCATAAATTTTTATATTCAGGACCTTGGGGTAAGCAAAAATTTCCTAAAAAATATATAAAAAGTATTCACCATAAAGGAAAAGATTGATAAAGTGGACTATATTAAAACCAAGAAACCCCATTCAGTAAAAGACACTATTTAGAGTAAAAAGACAAATCTCAGAGTCAGGCAAGATACCTGTAATACATATATGTAATAACTTAAAATCTCATACACCGGTGGAGGTAATTTAAATTTGTACAGTCATTTTAGAAAACTGCTTGGCAGTATGTACTGTACCTGAACATATGATCCAATAATTCTACTCATAAGTATAAATCCAGTAAAAATGCATGCTTATGTGCTTACATTACTCAAACATATGAACAAGAATGTTCATTACAGCATTATACATAAGAGCCCAAAACTTCAAACAACTCAAATATACGTTAACAGTAGAATGGGTGAGTAATAGTTGTGATGTTAATACAATGGAATACTACACAGCAATGTAGATAAACCACTGCTATACAAAACAGCATGGATCAATCTCACAGACAAAATGTTAAATGAAAGACACAGAAGAGTACATATTGTGAGCTTCTATTTTTATGAAGTTCATGAACTGGCAAAACTATTCACTGTGTTAAAAGTCTGAATAATAGTAACCTATGAAAAGGAGATAGGACAATGATTGTGAGGGGAATTAAAAGCTTCTGGGATATTGATAATGTGCTATGTATTGATCAGTTTAGCATTTAAACAGGTGGATTTTCTTTATGAACACTCATACGAAAGTTTTGTGTACTTTTCTGAATATATATTGTTTTAACAGGTTTTTTATTGCAGTCCATGATTTAGTGAAAGTAGAATACCCATTTAGTTTTATATCAAATGAAATATAGTGCTACCACCATTTTCATGCCTTATTGAGAATTTTATTCTACCTTTCTTTCCACTCTTAGCTCAAGGCTCCCAATTTTCTCCCCATGAATGCCACCAGCTTGTATTTGACCCATACATGAGCCAGTAGTTTCATGTACTTTTTAGAAATGCATATTAAATGGTGCTGTGACTGTTGATTTTGCTTCCTTTTAGATGCATCATGCAGCATTAAGAATGGCAGATGCAAGCAGTTTTGTAAAAAGAGTGCAGATAACAAGGTGGTTTGTTCCTGTACTGAGGGATACCGACTTGCAGAAAACAAAAAGTCCTGTGAACCAGCAGGTCAAAATCTGAATAAGTTTTTTTTGTTTTTTTTTTTAAAGAAAATCTGTACCTTCAGCATTTTAACTAGCCTGCATGATTTTAATCCTACTTCTATTTTCTTTTGCAATCATAGAAAAGATCAGTAGCTTGAATTAGACAAATTAATTTTCCAAATTGCACCATTATTTTAAACATAAATTATGTAATTATCTACAGCCTGAATCCTTCTGTGTCCAATTTTTTCTTTAACTTTTATATCACAAAGCAATTGATTTGTGTGATTTCTGCATACATATTTGTAAATTCATCAGATCAAATTAATATGATAATACTATACCACAAAATATACATAAATGATTGAATGAGTGATAGGCTTTTAGTACAAGGTTGGTGAATCTTAAGCATTGTTCTGTCAGGGCCTGGCTAGTTTACTCTGAGAAAGTTATTTCCTATCCTTGGGACTCCAGCTGAGTTTATACACTTGGTATCAGAATGATTCCAGCAACTAACTTTTAAGTTCTGCTACCTGATCAGCACAATCTATACAGCAGTAGACAAAGCAATGTTTCCCAATAATGTCAACCATGCAACCAAGCCACCAACCATGCTGATTGGTGTATTCAAAGCATCTCCACTCCATGTTCATATGACTCCTCTCTGAAGACAATACGAGTAGAAACTTTGATTTTAAAAAATAGGCTCTGCAGGATCGACTGTATTTGATAAATGAGGGGCCTTTATTAAGGAAACTAGATATAATTTATTTTGCATTTCCAAAGCCTGATATCTTATTAAATTGATACATTAAATCATGCACCATCCCTCTGTACCTGGGTTTGATACCTATCTTAGCGCTGCACCAGGTGGAGGAAATTAAAGAAAGAACTAGAAGCCAGAAGTATATGTTACAACTAAAATTAAGAGTTTCTAATGCTTTAGGGCCTGCCCACCTGTCCTTCTGACCAGTTCTTCACATATACTGCCTCAAAGGTAGCCTACCTTAGGAGGAGTATGTGTGTGTATTTGTTAACCTTTAAAACCTAGCTTCCAGTCTAGACAGATGGCATAACAGCTAAACCATTACAAGCCCTTCTATTTTATGAGAGAAAAAAAATTGAGAATCACCTCCAACTATTAAGTGTTATATTTCAATACAGCCTTAGCTTTAGGAGAATAAGTAGGCCAAACCTGAAATAAGCTTTTCTGCCTCTTCAACGATAATGGTCCCCTTTCTCTAGCCATTGTTGATCACGTATATTTATACATAAGTATTTTGAACTAATTTCCTGTTTTCTCAACCACATGCTGTCTTCATGATACTTTGCCACAGCTGGTTGCTATGGAAATGTCTGTTATAAGGAATGTGGCTGAAGGAAAGTGAGAAATGAAAATGAAATGTGAAGTGACTTTGTTTGACTACAAATTTCCTTTCTGGAAGTCCCCAGTATATCAGTAGATGATTTATTTTCTTTAGAAAATAAACCAGCCCAAGGAGAAAAGGTGGCCAGGTCCTGGTGAATATGGCTGTGATAATCACATTAGTGATCTATTTGGTTAATATTTGACAGCCAGATAATGGAATCACAATTATCTCTCCCAACAAATACCTAAAATCCACCTTGGAATCTAGAATTCTAGCCTACAAAAGAACCCCTGTTAATGATAAACAGCAGAAGTCCCATTTACCTAATTCTAAAGTTAAAGTTACAAGGTACCAACCATCAGATTTCCATTCAGGGATGGCAATTGGGAGTAAGACTTTTTAGTAAAGAAACTAAAGAGAAAGTCATTAGATGCTATAAAAGTCTTACCAAATTTGATTCCGGAACACCTATTCTATTTCCGTAAAGATGATGAATTCCGGAGCCAAATGTTCTTTTCATGAAGGATTTGAAAACTTTCCACAAAAATAATGCAATCAACCTTTTAGTTTGACACTATGTTCGCTGATTAGATCTCTTAAAAATACTGATGGGCCTGCTTCTCAGAAGTGACAAGGATGGGCCTCATTTTCAATTTTTGTAATACATGTCCCATTTTCCAATGAGAAATATCAGAATACTAATTTTTTTTCTACTTTTCTAGTGCCATTTCCATGTGGAAGAGTTTCTGTTTCACACGCTTCAACGCTCACCCGTGCTGAGACTATTTTTTCCAATATGGACTACGAAAATTCCACTGAAGTTGAAACAATTTTGGATAATGTCACTGAAAGCACTCACTCACCTCAAGACTTCACTCGGGTTGTTGGTGGAGAAAACGCCAAACCAGGTCAATTCCCTTGGCAGGTACTTTATATTGATGGTGTGTTGAAAATGGAGCTCAGCTGGCAAGGGCAGGCCAGGTGGGAGACTGAGACTAGGACACTAAACAGACCTATGGGAGAGAGAAGCATTTGGGCAAGTTTCAGCACTAAGCAATAGGAGAAAGCCCCCATAGGTGAGCAGCTGGTGAAAGAGAAGTCCAAAATTAGCTACCATACATGGTCAAAAAGGGTTTGCCACCAAGGAAATAGAATAGTGGGAGTTCAGTCAAGCAGCTAGTCAGCAATATGGAGGTCTGGAAGAAGGGTCACAGCTACTGGAGTTCAGGGTACCATTTCAGCTTCAGACCTTGGAAAAACTGATGAGAGCTGGAAAGTCTCTAGGCTCAGAGAAACTGGATTATTTTCAAGGGAGAAAAGAAAAGGACTCAACTAAGAAGGCTTAAGGCAAGAACTAAGTTCCTTGAACCAGGATATTGGATAGGGGCTTGTTCCACAGCTGTGGCTCTCAAAGTGTGGCAGCATCAGAATCACCTGGGGACTTATTAGGAATGCAAATTCTCATACTCCACCCCAGGCCTAATGAATCAGAATCTCTGGGTGGATACCAGCTGTGTGCAAACAAGCCCTGCAGGTGATTCCAATGCAAACTAAAGTTTGAAAATCACTGGTCCAAAAGAAAGAAACTTGTTACAGAAGTCAGGGTCTAAAACATCAAATAATGGACTCATGGTACCTAGTCCTCCGAGTGTGGTCTGCAAATAACCCACATATGCAAAATTACCTATGCACAGTTTTGATTTAACGACCAAGAGCTAGATTTGTAGCAAAATCTGGGTTGTAATTGAGCCTACACCTCAAGCCTGATTGCATCTGTGAGAAGGAATAGGAATTCCCCGCCCCCCAAGACAAGGAACCAAGGCTAGTCCTTATATAAAGTTGTGCTGTCCAATAGGTAACCACTAGCCACACGTAGCTATATAAATTTAAATTAACACAATTAAATTAAAAATTCAATTCTTCAATTGCATCTGCCACATTTCAAGTACATAGCAGCCACAAATGGCTAGTGGCTACTGTATTGGACGATGCAGGTATAGAACACTTCCTTCACTGCAGAAATTTCTATTGGATAGCAACGATCTAACTTAAAACTCCCTAGTGGCCACAATCATGATTTCATAGCAATGAAATATAAGTAAATATAAGTGTGCAGTGAGAAGGACATGAAAAGATTTGAAATGATGTGCATCATTCATATCTTCTTCCTCACAGAACAACTGCAACTACAATCTAATAGTCTATTCTGTTCCAGAAGAAAATAAAATGTCTGCTAGAGTTACTAAAAATTTCTTTTAGTGAATACCTACATTGTTAAAACATTGGCAACATCTGGATTAAAGGGGGTGGATGGGAAACAGATTATGTGACTAAATTGAGACTTTATACCCCTCCCCTTTGTAGCTCTCATTTAGGTGTATTTGCCATTTCATTTGTGGGATGACAAGGGGACAATGCTAAATCCAAAATGTATATATCCTGAAATTTTTTAAAATCCTGGGATGTTTTAACAGATAAGTCATATTTTTAGCTAATAATACACTCCTGGGTTTGTGGCTCCTCTACTCCAAGAATTTACTCTATGTCCCACAAACCCAAGGAAGATAATTGTCATAAAGTAGGATCTTTTGTCGTAACCATCTTATCAATGGAAGTTGGATACATAATGAATATGCATGAGAACACAAATGACCAAATTAGATGGATTAGACACATGGATATTAAGTAGATTGGGAGCATAATTAGAGTGGTTGTACCCAAGAGGGATTGTTCAAGGAAAGGTGGGTGGAGAGGGTCAATGTTACAAAGAGTTGTAAAGAAGAGTAAAGATGTGGATGAGTGAAGGAAAGGGTTATGGTGGGTGAGGGAAGCAGCCCTGGTAGGGCTGCACTTAATTAGGGACAGAGTGGGGTATAAAGGGACATAGAATTATATTTTATTGGCTATAAGATCAGGTCCAACAAATATTGTTTTTTTTAAAAAAGCAAAGGTAAAAGCAAGGAAAATATCAAGTCTTGGTTGTGATGTTCTGCCACCCTTTGATAACCATTGTCCATAATTCCTGTGCAAATTCTCCCACCCTAGTTATGTTTAATACCTTACATCCATTATATTGGAAAATGGCAAGCATTCTGAATAATCCTGGAGAGATACATAGCTAGTCTCAGAAAATTTCAGTGGTGCTAAACCTGGGGACATTGACCTGTTCCTGGCTTAAATTGTTTCCAGTTTGATGATTACAAAGTGTTTCAAGCTATCAGTTTCTGATGGCAGAAGTTCAAATCTCAGTGGAGAAAATATTTTGAAGTGAAGTATCCTTGAAATTGCTATGAAATCATGATTGTAGCCACTAGGGGGTTTTAAGTTAGATGGTTGCTGTCCAGTAGAAATTTCTGCAGTGATGGAAGTGTTCTATACCTACATTGTCCAATACAGTAGTAGCCACTAGCCACATGTGGCTGTGTGTTGTCTTTTTTCTGTCCAGCCTAGCCAAGATCATTTGGAATGTCCAAGATCACTCGTATACATGTGTGCGCACACGCACATGTACATACACATTCACTCCTTATTTCATCCATACGAACTAAGATTACTGACTTTTTGAAGTACAAAGCACTAGGTTTTGTTCTTTTCCAAAGACGAGGAGCTGAGCTACTTTCTAGACTAGTTGAGAAAGGCCCTATCATACTTCTGCATTGTTTCCTCCACACCACTTCCACCCAGTTCCTCACGAAGGTTACTGGTTTTCAAAAACATGAGACAAACTGAGTGTGCAAAAGTCACTTTTAGACAATGAAACAGGAAATGAAACAAGCCAGAATCTCTCATTATCTGTGGATGGGCCAGTTCCACCAAGTCATGGTTCATCTGTAAGGAGGAAATACTAGATTTGATTGCAAACAAGACCATAACAAACCTGCTGTGGTGAGGCATCAAGAGAAAGCAAGCCCCAGCTGGCGTTTCAGAGTCAAAATATTATATATCTGGCTCTGAAATATGAAATACTATTTAGCAATACTATTTTCACCTAGAAAAGAGTGTCTCAAAATGCCGTTGTTCATAAAAGTCTCTCTATTCAGAATTATTTTATCTTTTAAATTGTTAAGGGTGGAAGATAAAGCAATCAGTGAGTGAAGAAATCCCACAAAGAACATAGTTCACGTTCATCTGGAGTAATGAACAGTTTGAACAAACTGGAAATGTTTAATCTGTTAAAAAAAGGTTTAGGAGAGCTATTTGCAAGAGCCACGGGGGAAAGGGGAAGACGGCTTCTTTCTTTTGTGGACTTAAGGGTGAAAGTTGCAGGCAGGCAGGCAGATTGTGGCCATGTTCAGAAAGCCCCAACCACTGGCTTAGTTATACAGGCTGGGCAGCTCCGGGGGCAAATGTTGGTTGAACAAATGTTTGTCGGAATTGTTGACTTGAAGAACTGTTCTGTCACTGGGGACAGCAGCGGCTGGATAGCCCCATCCAGGGAGAGTGTGGAGGGCGTTAGTTGACCTGGTGAGAGATTAGAACAGGCTGGGGGCCCGCTGGGATCCCGTGTAGTTTTGAGACCCTACGAAGCAATGTTCACCTTCCACCTAGCGCGTCAGCAGTCGCGCTCATTCCTTACCTCGTTCTAGGACTTCCACCTCAGCTTGCCAGGCTGGAGGCAAGGGCCATCGCAGCCCAGCGTCCGAGAAGCCCCCTGCAGTTCCGGAGTGGCGCCGCTCTCCCCAGCCCAGCTCCGACCCCTGAAGGGCAAAGGCGCAGACCGTCCTGCCCAGCCCGTAACCACGCAGGGTTGTCAGAGGGCCTGAGAGAATCCAGCGGAGCGGGGCGTGGGGCCAACCGAAGGAGATCTGGCCTTCGGTTTCCCTCCAGATGCCCAGCGGTGAGCTCAGAGTTCCTTGAGAACTCAGGGAAAGGAACCAGGGACACTTCAGGAGGAGAAAGAGGAAGCTGGAGGGTTAGGCACACCATAAAGGGACAGAAAGGAGATTTTCTTAGAGTAAGTATACCTTCAGCAGAGTGGGAAACTAAAACAAGAATTGAATTTCATACAGCTACAGAGGGAAGAAATGAAAACTTTTGAACATTAATGAAACTAGGGAAATTGCAACATCTGTATTACTAGATCACCTCCATCAACAGCTCAAAAGAGAGATTTGAGGAAGCAACACCATGTTTCAGCTCTCTAAAGCTTTCATTTGATTTTGGTCCCATGCTGATGATCCTGCCATCTGATCATTCTGTGCCTGTGCCCAGAATCTTGTTGGCCCCAAGAACAACTCCCATGTTTTCTGCTTTGGAAGACCTGTCTGGCCCTGTATGTGAAGTACACATACAGGTCTTTCTATTTTCTGTTTTACCGTGGGCCTCAGTTCTGTATGAGGCATATTTATTCTACATTTAATAATTTGAAGATCATTCTACTAGATTGAAAAAAGGAATACAATGGAAGCCAAGTGGTTTTCCTTATCCTTAGGTTATATCATATGCATTAACCAATATTTAACAGTTTTAACCTACAGAAAACATCCTAAGAAGCAGTCCATTCCTTATTCTATTCTTGGCCTAAACAATCGTTAAAATGTCTTAGCATTTTCCACAGTCTTGGCTTCCCTCAGCTTTAGCCTGAAGCTATAATGTCCCTGAGCTCTTGCCCTGTATGGCTAGCTACACAGATCTGATCCCTTACATCGATTAGGACACACCCCAGTGGCAGTCAGCAGGCCAAGTTACCACATGCATGAACCAGAACTTTCTTTTTCTTGGGGGGGGGATATTACATGAGGCTTCTAAGACTATAGAAATATCAGCACTTAAAAAAGATAACCCTCTATTATTCCTAGCTCAGATGATAAAATTCCAATTAGGAGAAATAAGAATATGACATATGTGATCTTACCTGGACCGAAAAGCTATTTTGGACAGAACAGTCAGACTGTTAGCTTCAAAGATTATTCAATGAAACATATTTCAATAGCTAGTTAACCATTAAAAACCAAAGTGAGCATCCCCTCTGTGCCCAGCAAAATGACCCAGGGTCAAGGGCTGGGCATACCATACCTGTGGTCATAACAAACTGTACAGCATGCACAAATGGTTTTGTCTTGTGTATGAGAGGAAGCAAACATAGAAAAAGTGTTATTGTAAAGCTGGGGTGGGTAGGTAGGGAGAATAAGGGTTTTACTGAAATCACAGGGAAAGGCTGGGTTGGAGTTAAAGGTTGGGAGGCAAGCCACAGGGCTCTATTGCTCTGGGCTGGCATGTCAATACGGAGCATAAATACAGATGTGTGAATGTGTATTTTGTAAATGTTATATGTATGTGGTTGGTTTGTATATATGTGTGTCTAAAAGAGGGAAAACAGGCTCCTATTAGACTTTGACAAACATAGAAAATGTTCAACAGAATTCAGATGCCTTGCTCAGAACATATGCTCTCTAATTTTCCCCATCATTCTCCAAAGTGATGCCTTGCAAGAACTTGTCCTTGGTTTAGCAGACAGTTCATCCCCCAAATAGCTAATATTTAGATATCTGTGGTCCTGAGGTAGCCAAACAAATATTCCCAAACCAAGTAGTTTGTAATATCTTTAAATGCAAATAGATTTTAGGCCTTTTTCTTGGCAAAGATATTCAGTAAAATTTCTAATACCAACCAGGAATTGGCAAAAAAAAAAAAATGCTCTTCAGACTTAAAAGAACGCAACCATATTTCTCAGCCATCTACCAGAAAGCAGTAGAAGCTCCAGGCAACAACAAGTCTTTGGCAGGACTCAGACTAGGTCTGTCATAGTCTCTGTGCCCAGGGGCTGTGGATATCATTCAATCTGGCCTAACTAGCTCACTAAGCTAAGCGATGTCCAATTCCCCCCAATACAGTGGGCCAGAGGAGAAGCAGCGTGCTATCATCACATGTGAATTCTTAATTCCAGTTGCTTAAACAGATATGTTCAGTTGTAACCATCAGGACTAACATAGAACAGTGTTGCCCAAATTTGCTTGGTGATAAAAATCACCAAGGGGATCAGGGCCAACCACATGGTCTTATCACCAGTGCACTTGCTCAGGGCTCTGCACTGAGAAGAGCTGCACATCTGGGGATCAATGCTTTTGCGTTTTTGCTCTGTGACTCAAGTCCAGTGAGACAACAGAGCATGTGCTAGGGACTTGGAACCTCGGATCCTGGCAGTCCCACCTCTCACCGCCTCCCAGGGGTAGTTTCTCCACCTCCTATTCCCTTAGCCCCCGATGCCTCAGCCAGCTCTGCCTCTCCCTCCCACACCTGCCCAATGACCTCTGTCATACCATGGTGACCAGAAATATTCCACTTCCTGGTCCCTACCCAGCTACCATTGCTGCCCTCCTCCCCTGGTTGGGGGCCTGGGCACAGGCACACAGAGGGTTAAGATCTGATTGCACATGCCCTTATGCTAACTTGGGAAGGGGCATGGCCGCATGGCATCTCCAGACCAGGAATGTGCCACAGCACATTTGGAGGGTGAATGGTGGGGGTGAGTCTCTTTCCCACCTCCATTCCAGGTACGGAGCACATCTTAGCATGGAAGTTGCAATCCCTTGGGAATCAACTCTCCACCTTGATTGCTGCAGTAGGTCAGTGGCAAGGAAAAGATTGACTTACCCTCCACTGCTGAGGCCCAGCATCCTGTGGCTGGCAGGCAGGGGAATCCTAAGGGAGTATAGGTGCTAAATCAGAGGGTGCACCCCCAGGCACCTTGGCGGACTGTGCTCTCTCAGCAAATATCCCCATGCTAAAGGAAGCATAACATTAAATATCAAATTTTTTGAAACATAACATGATAGGTTGTGAGAGAGACCACCAAGGAAAAGAAAAAGTTTTATATTTTAGTATTTTCAATGATACGTTTTTCCTGGCTTTTGAACAAAGGGCCCCATATTTTCATTTTTCACAACATATGTAGCCCGGTCCTGCCTGGAGTGAGCACTTTACCAAGCCTTGGAAACTCTGATTCAGTAGGTATATAACAGTTCTCAAACTTAATTATGCATAAGAATATTCTGGGGAGCTTCATTTTCCCCAGTCCCACCTACCACTCTGGTTATCTAAGCCTGGATAAGCCCCCAAATCTGCATTTTACAAGCACCCCAGATGATTCTACTGCAGCTGATCCAGAGACCGTGCCTGGACAGATGCTGGGTATCTAGGAGCACAAATTCTAGAGTCAGGAAGATTTCGGTTTGCATCCTGGCTTCACCACTTACTAACCTTAGAGGAGTTAATGTGTATCTCTAAACCTCAATTTGCTCATCGATAAAGGATATATTAATATCACTCCATAGGATATTAAGTTGTGAGTATTAAATGTCTATAAAGCACTTACTACAATGATCAGCCCTAAATATACACTCAATAAATGTTAAAAAAAATTAGGAAGAACGTTAAGTCTGGCTTGTATTCACGTTGGTGTTTATTATCTTATGTGGGTTTTTCTACATTTTTATAACTTTTCAAAATAAAAAGCCACAGCTAGTTAGAAAGGGAGATCCCGAATATGAAAAAGGAAGTCAGAGACCTAAAATGAGTCAGCCCCATAGGTCCCCCCCAGGAGGCTAGTGTTTCAGTGCCTAGGACATAATAGGTGTTCAGTAAGTTGAATTTGAGACAAAAAAACATGCCCCAAGGACCATCTCTGATGCACACTTTAAAGGTTTGACTGCCTCCTTTCCCTTGCTTATGAATGGCTTTATACCTAGGGCTACGTGTGCTTTGGTAAAAGGGCAGTTCAGGAAGAGCTAGTCAGCTGCTGAAAAGGGTTTACTGAATGTTGAGTGTGCCCTCTAGTGTTCACACTTCTCAGCTTCCTTCCTGAAAAGGTGGATCAAGGCTCTTGCTTACACTGGAACTGAAATCCTCCGAGTTAATCAAGACATTGAGGTAGTGAAAATATTCGTTGTCCACTGTGATTATGCAATGAATATACAGTTAAAGGAATAGATTTTCCTCCTATCTAATGATGTCCACTTTGCCCAAAAGTCAAGCACAGCTAAGTAGATCTTTTAGGAAAAAGACAACTTACTATCCAGCCAGAGGGGAATAGAATATGGCTTAGGGAGAGTGGAAAGAATGCATGAGTCCTGCTGTTCCTCACTGCCTGGATGACTATAAGCCCTTATGGAGGCCTTAGGTCTTATTTCATAATATTCCAGTTTAGAAAGGATTTGAAAAGACCTCTGAGAAAAATCAGCAGTTTTTCTCTTTCAAGTGACCTGTAGCAAAGAGATTTCCTCATGCAGGAACAGGAGACTCAGTCATAACTATTAATCTTGAGGAGTCAAGTCAGTGTGTTTTCTAATGTACCTGCCATATCTCCATGAAGGAATTTGTGCCACTGGAGAATCTGCCTTGCCTAGAAAAGAAATCCAAGGGCCCGGAATCACCAAAAGCAGCCATTTCTCAGATTTGCCTTGGCTGGAGCTCCCCTGTCTCTCATCGTGTGCGCTCTTCAAGACAGTTACAGAAATGGCTTTTTTGGTGGTGCTCCAGATACACTAATTCATCTGCAAAGCTGATACTTTCCAGAAACATTCCATTTCTGCCAGCACCTAGAAGCCATCTTTTTGCCTACTCCTGTAACCAGCACACATATTTATTTTTTCTAGATCAAATATATTATACAGTAAGATTATTAATTTTGTTTCCACAGGTTATTTTGAATGGCAAAATTGATGCATTCTGTGGAGGTTCCATCGTTAATGAAAAATGGGTCGTAACTGCCGCCCACTGTATTGTACCTCCTGTTAACATTACAGTTGTTGCAGGTAAATAAACAGAAATTATAATAATCTGCAGCATCACTAGATCTTCTATATGATTGCTACATCATATTTTACTATCTAAATAGGAATGTTGCTGAATAAATTGGGCTAGTGGTAGAAGGGCTACAATTCCAAAACCTAACTTGCTCCATCCTGCGAGTTCCCATAATTCTTTTGGCATACCCATATTATCACTCCTCTCAGTGGGGTATAATTAGTTATCAATGTGTCTATTTCCCTACCAGACTGAGCCTTCTCAAAAGCCAGTGTCATGTCACTGACCTTTGTACCTCTGATGCCTGGCACAACCTGTAGCAGGTCTTCAGCCAGCATTTGAATTAATGACCAGATGAATTTGTGCTCAGAAAGTGGATTAGAATACTTGAAATTGGGAAAATCTAGGATAATTCATGGCAAGTAGATTCATTACCACCAATGTAAGACTTGTAACAGCATAGGTGAACAGAATCATTTCTATGATGGTCCTGAATGGCTTTTGGTCTGAAAAATATACACTGGCCCTCATTACATTTTACTAAAATCATCACAATGTAAGATTGAGATTTTTGACATTGCCAGTTAGATCAGTGATGCTGAGTAGTCACTTGGAAAATCTGTTCTTTTATGTAAATGATTTTTCATGACTGAAAATAAAATTTATTTTCAATAGGTGAACATGACATTGAGAAGACGGAACCTACAGAGCAAAAGCGAAATGTGATTCGAGTTATTCTTCACCACAGCTACAATGCAACTGTTAATAAGTACAGCCATGACATTGCCCTTCTGGAACTGGATAAACCCTTAACACTAAACAGCTATGTAACACCTATTTGTATTGCGGACAGGGAATACACAAACATCTTCCTCAAATTTGGATCTGGCTATGTGAGTGGCTGGGGAAGAGTCTTCCACAGAGGGAGATCAGCTTCAATTCTTCAGTACCTTAGAGTTCCATTTGTTGACCGAGCCACGTGCCTTCGGTCCACAAAGTTCACCATCCATAATAACATGTTCTGTGCTGGCTACCATGAGGGAGGTAAAGATTCATGTCAAGGAGATAGTGGGGGACCCCACGTTACTGAAGTGGAAGGGACCAATTTCTTAACTGGAATTATTAGCTGGGGTGAAGAGTGTGCAATGAAAGGCAAATATGGAATATATACCAAGGTATCTCGGTATACCAACTGGATTAAGGAAAAAACAAAGCTCCCTTAAAGAAGAATGTATTTCCAAGGTTGATTCATTGGGACTGACAATGGACAGGGCCTTTTACTAACTAATCACTTTCCCATGTCTTGCTAGATTTGAATATATACATTCTATAAATAGTGCTTTTTCTCTTCACAGCAGAGAATTTCATCTAGAACTCATGTTTTCTAGCGTAAATAGATTATAAAATGGAATCACTAGAGAAATATAATATGGTAGGAAATCATGACCATTCCTATGGGCCCAACCCTTGACAAAATTGTGAATTTAAGTTCTCCACTTTGCCCATCAGGTACTGCGGTTCTCCACAGTGGCAACACACCTGATTCTTCTCTTTCGAAGCATTCCATGTTCCAGATCTTCCTTGCCTCTCCCACCAAAATATCAATAGTTATTAGTTCTGTATGCAGGATCTTTAGTCCATCACAAGGCCAGCACCACTTTCATAAAGGAAGAACACAAGAGCAGCTAATAGGTTAAAACTCATCAAAAAGGGAGGGGGGCAAGGGCAACATACGTAACCTAAACATCTGTACCCCCATAATATGCTGAAATTTAAAAAAAAAACTCATTAAAAGCACTTCTTTTCCTATACCCTTATTCCTGAGTCCTTTATCTTTTCCAACTCCCAATCCCCAAATCAGTTTTTCTCTTTCTCATCCGCTCTCTCCCCTTTTCCCTCCACAGTTATTAAAGGAGGGAAAGGGAGCGTCACGTTTTACTCTTGTACACAGTTATACATGTCTATCAAACCCAGACTTACTTTCAGTTTGGTCTCAGACTTGCTTTTCAGAACATGGGGATGAAGTAAAGTGCCTGAAGAATTTGGGGAGAAGTTCCTTTCAGAGAGTTAAGTTAGTGAGTTATATATGTGTGTTAGGAAGACATTTCACATTTCATAAAATGTAATATATGTGTTTCAATTAAGAAATCTGACATTGATCCAGATATATTGTCCCCTGTCTGAAAAAAATAATGCTAACAGAAAGGACAGTTTGCAACCTAGAACTAGTAGAATCTTCAAGGAGGAGTTCAACAGGGTGTCTCCAGCATTGTCCAGGGCCAAGTAAAAAGTTGCCTAGACCAGAGGCCATGAGCATCATGTCTCCTTGACCAGCATACCTCTGCAGGGGAGAAGGGTGCAGTCAACTCAAGGACATGAGTCATTCTGATCAGCCAACTTAAATCTCCGTTTTCTGGTTTCATGCTCAATGAGGAACCTTTTGAATATAATTAATCCTTCTATCTTGAATTTTCTAGAGGGTTGCTGACCAACCAACATATGTCTCCCTTCTTGAATTAATAAACTGGTGTCCTGGTTCATGCTTTGGCTTCTTGTGAATTTGGGCGATGTGAATCAGTCACCCTGCATTTGATGGTGCACGGGACTGCTGAAAAAAATCATGTTTTGGACCACTTTGACCCCACCAAGCTGCACTTTCCCCTGCCCCCTTCTAACCCTCAGCCAGCCCTCACTCTTGCTGATTTCTTTAAAGTTCTTCTAGTTAGTACTTTTTTTACTTTAGTCTTTCAAACATAAGTATCAATAAATATATTTTTAAAATTCTTGAAGTGTTTCTTGTTAAATCATTCAGAGTCGTATTCCAAACACTACATTCAGCAAAACACTCAGAAGAATGTGCTCAAATTCAATACAAGAAAGCAGAGATTTGATGCTCTGTTATCATCTGGCTTTCCTGTGAGGCAGTGGGGGTTGTATCTTGGAGAGGAAAGTGGTCTGGATCCACCTGGGACATAACTGAGTCTAACTAGCTGTGAGTATGGCCTTGAATAAGTCACTCTCCATCTGGGAATGTGCTTTCTCCATTTGTGTAATGAAGGAGTTTGATAGGATGCTCTCCAAAGATGTTTGTGATTTTGACAGTCTGTGATTTCATGGGTTTTTTATTCCTTTATTCAACAAATATCTAAGGAGTGATTACTGTGTGCCAAATACCAATAATGTTCATTAAATTTGAATTCACATTTATATTTTGGGGAAATTAAATAATGTATGTAAATTGCTTTGTCAGTGCCTACTACACTACTACACAGTAGTTGCTCAATAAATGTTTGCTGAATCTGAATCCATGTTTATCCCAGAGTAGCAATTAATCTTGCATTGAGTATCATGAAAGAAGACCATACTTAAATAAATATAATGCCTAGAGTTTACGTCTCATGAACAAATGAAAGAAATCAGTGCTACTATTGTTGGCTGAAGGAAGGAAAAAGAGAGGAGATACTATAACTGTCTGCCTTAGGTTTAAGGAGGATGCTAATGCATGATAAAACATGTTACTTCAAATTTGAATAACTAAAGATCTGTAGCCCCAGAGTTCTGCAGTAGGTAAAAGTGAGATGCTCTGGCTTTGTTGCCATAGAGACCACCCCTTACAAAGGCGGCACTGGGGAACTCGCTTCACACCTTCTGTGATTGGTCTTCCCTGTGGCAGAGGAAGGAGCTTCTGGGCCCATAAATCTCTGAGCCACAGATCTCCTCTTTCCCATGGACTAGAAAATGACTGAATTCATCATGAGCCACCTGTGGCATGTTGCCCACTAAACATATGGGGCCTTTAAATTCACCTACGAGCCAGTGACTTCAGAGCCGTGGACTGGCTGGATTCTACCTACAGCATTTGCAGTCACCATATAAGAATTATTAGTGCTTTCCAAATCACTGTAGCTACTTAGCCTAAATGGGTTGAAACATGCTGCTATAATATTGGAAGTGACAGATGAAAATAGAACTCTTGCTGAGTGAAGGAAAATGTGTTACTATAGTGTAGTCATTTTAACTTGCTGTTTAATTGTTCCTGGTTCTTTTGAATATTAGTTGCTTTATGGTGACAGGAACAAAGTACTGTTGAATTTTCTCTGCCAAGGGAAAAAGAAAGGGTTTTCTCCCCCGCTATCCTGAACCATGACAGATCAGTTTACAAAATTGAATAATTATTATTTCTAAACAACTTTTCAATGTTTCCAGTCCAATCTAAGAATGTCAGAGCTGGAGGGACCTTAAACACCATCCAATCCACTCAATCCATTAAACAGATGAGAAGATTGAGGCCAAGATAAATCCAGGCCCAAAGTAACACAATGACAGAGCCAGGACTAGAACTCAACTCTCTCACCCTGCACTAAGAAAGCACGGAGCTTTCAACTGGAATACATTAATTCTACCATCCATATTTTTAGGGCAGCTGGGCCTAAACTGCATTGGTGGAAATTCTTTCAGTGCACCTGGGACTGAAATTCTGGAATTCTTACTAGTGATGTTCTAATTGACAAACAGGCGACAAAATCAAAAAGCCCAACAGGTAGCCTGGAAGGCAGTCGCAATCAAAAAACCAGAGCTGCAACCCCTGGCTCATAGCAGGTACTCAGTAAATACATGTACAGTGAATGTGTGGTGCTGGTGTCTGCCATTTAGCCCAGCTGTGAGCACTGGGCCTTCCACATGTGACATTTGACTGCCAGAGCACATTCCTCAGTATCATCTGGCACATCATTATTCCAGCAACATTTCAACTTTATTCATTGCAACTGTGCTGGGGAGGATACTCCAGAAGCTGTTGTTTAAAGGTTGAAGGAAGGCTTCAAAAGCCCACTGAAGCTGGGATTCTAACAATACAGTGTAGCTGTGGGATGAGTAGGAAACAGACTACAGCTGCTGGGAGACCTGTCTGAGTAAAACAATCAAGAATCTGGGCTCATTTTTAATCTGAGGCTTATGCCATCTAGAAATCTCAGGGTTAAAGCCACAAACATCAACATGTTTTGCAAGCCCTGCAGGCTGTTAAAGGAGCTGCAGAGGGCAAAGGACCGTGGGACCCCTGCTCTTTTCAACCAATCCAGGTCCACAGGTCACTCTACTTATTTTATCCTATAGTAGTTTCAAAGCAGATCTTTTTCACCCTGTTCTTTGGACTATGGACTGCCTCGAGATTTCTGAGTTAATCTCAATTTCTAATATGGGTAAATGCATCAAAAGGGAAGAACAGCGGCAGGCTGTTTCTTATATATAGACAAAGAGGAAAAGGCTTCTGGAACAGGGCCATGATATTTTCTCTACACCTTCACAGAATATGACAGAAGTATTTCAAACTCTTGGCCAGATCATTTCACTCTAGTAGGAGAGCTATGCTTCTCTTGGTTAAGAGAAGGCTGGAAATAGATACAGGGATATTCCTGATTCCAGTGACTTCCATTCAAATGGTTGTTTCATTGCGATGTTAAATATGAGATCCCTATCTATAGAAACTTGCCAACATGATAAATAAACTTGCTGTCACTCTTAAACTTATAGAAATGCTGTGGTATATAGCTTCTCTACATCAATAACTACAGGAGGCTTAAGTGCTGACCTCATAAAGATAAAGGGGTCTCACAACTTACCTATTATGTGCTTTTAGGAAGATCTATATATAAAAGCCTATTTTCCTCTTGGACTATTTCATAAAAATAAGCATGCATTTCGTGAAATTAAAACCCAACTCTAAGAGTAAAAACCCAGATTAAGAATATAACAATGTGTGAATGAAATGGAAGACAAAAAGCTATTATTAACCACAACACTGTGCAAAACTCCCAGTCATTTAAGGTAGGAATAAGATATTTATCGAACACATAAGGGGATTTGCCACAGAAAGGGAGACAAATACAAAAAAGGACTCCTACATTTACTGTCTTCCTAGGATATAAAAAGAAGTTTTCACTGATTTCTAGGAAATGTAAAAAAGATTAGCCTAAAAGACTATGGTTTTTATAGAGCGACTTTTGCTCTTTTGGGTAGATGCCCAGTAATGGGATTGCTGGGTCAAATGGTAGTTCTACTTGTATCTCTTTAAGGTATCTCCATATTGCTTTCCACAGAGGTTGCACTAATTTGCAGTCCCACCAGCAGTGTATGAGTGTTCCTACCTCTCCGCATCCACGTCAACATTTATTGTTTTGGACCTTCAATTGCAAAGATGTGGAAACAACCCAAGTGTCCATCAATACATGAGTGGATTAATAAACTGTGGTATACGTATACCATGGAGTACTATTCAGCTTTAAGAAACAATGGTGATATAGCACCTCTTATATACTCCTGGAAAGCGCTGGAACACATTCTACTAAGCGAGGTATCCCAAGAATGGAGAAACAAGCACCACATGTACTCACCATCAAACTGGTATTAGCTGATCAACATTTAAGTGCACATATAAGAATAACATGGATTAGATGGTGGGGGGGGAGGGGGGAGGAGGGGACGGGCATATGCACAAACAATGAGTGAGATGCGTACCTCCGGGGGAATGGACACACTTGAAGCTCGGACTTGGGGGGGAGGGAGGGTAAGGCCATCATACATAACCTAATCATCTGTACCCCCATAACATGCTGAAATAAAAAAAAAAAAAGACTATGGTTACAGCCCTGGCCTTTTTCTCTCCTTTTAACATTTATTGCTTTTGTGTTTGTGATCTCCAGAAGCTGTATTTACCTCTCGTGTCTCTTTTGCTTTCTGTCCTCATTTAGGTAGCTATTTTGTTGTTGTACTTTATTTTTAATAGATTCGGCTCTTAGCTTTCATTTAGATTTCTTTCTCCCTAGAGTTATTATTCAACCAATGACCTTGTAATGAAGTTTAATATCTGAATCAAACTGCTGTTCTTGGCCACAGGGATTTCATTTCTCCCATATCCCATATTTTTTTGTTGTCCATGCTATCTTCTGTACACTGTTTCTAGTCGTAGATGATCTTAAGATTAGAATCTCTGTTTCCTTAGCTTAGAAAATGTAAATATGAATAAAAGATATGCTAAAAAGACAGCTACACATTATTAATGGTAGGATTGTTATAATTCAGAAATCTTAGAACATTCCGATAAAAAATGTTACTGAACACTCACTGTATACCTAGTGCTGCATCTGTTTCATAAGACATAGTCAAACGTATGCTGGGACTGGCATGTGCTCACTGACAAAAGCCAATGTTAAAAGGAAATCTTTAGACAAAATAAATTTAAAAGAGTTTATTTGAGCAAAGAACAATTCAAAAATAGGGCAGCACTCAGAGCCAGGAGAGGTTCAGAGAGCACCACTGCAGTAGCTGGGGCAGTGAGCTTTTATAGGATGATGGAGAAGGAAGTCAAAGAAAATATATTTGATTTGTTAGAGTGGAAAGACCCTCAGAGATGAATTGGCAGTTTCTGATTGATAAAGTCTCTAGTTTCCTGTTTACTGTTTACATTGGGCTTTAGTTTGTTTATGCAGGTACTTAAAGGGCTAGAGCTACACCAGTCTACCAGCCTCCCAATTAAATCTTTTTAAAATCAATTTTGCACATCTCTTTCCAACTCCCAGTTCAGTGACTTCGTGTCAGTAGCTTAAAATCCACTATGGTAGGGATATTTACACCGTAGAAATCAGCAAATGCTACAAATAAGGATTTGGGGTAT